GGCCTTTGCCCTTTCCCTTCGGTTCCCTCCGATAGTCGGAGGGTCCCGGCTGGGCCATACGACGGCGAGGAGGCAGAGAGGGGCGTGGCTTATTGCCACTAATATAGCAGTCGGCCGCAATATGACCAACATGTCTGCACGCAGTACAGAAAGCGGGGATCTTCTCATAGATCACCTGCTGAACAAACGACTCGGAGCCCTGCTCAATCTCGATCTCATGAACGAGCTCCGTTCGGAGATCTATCTCGACACAAAATCGCGCCACGCTGACCCTCGTCTGAAGGGCCGTGTGGGCGTCAATACGAATTGGCTGCCCAATACACTTAGCAAGTGTAGTGATGGCAGCACGGTCGTAGAGATGGGGTGGGAGGCCCGGAAGGCGACACCAAACAGGGACAATCGGCGCCTCTGTCTTTGGGTTAAACCCGACATGGTATTTGAATACCCTAGCTGGGCATCCACACAGATGAATCAAGGTCTTAAGCCAGACCTCATTATAATCCTCAATGAGATGGAAGGTCACTAGAAGATGGTTAAAGTTGAACCACTTCGATGATACACTACCCTTAAAACCCTATTTCCTTAATCCAGCAGATATATCTCGAGGGGCGGGGATAGCATATGAGAACTTAAATACCAGGGTGTTATCTAGTTTACCTGACAGGTCGCCAGATTCGGCGTCAGTGAAACGGGCCTTCACTTTGTTATCCTCGGAGCGGGTGATGGTACCATAAGCATGTTCGTAATTCCCGTCAAATGGGTAATCTTTCGGTGTTGCACGGTTGTTGGTCGTGTCGACATTTCTTTTCCCCGTAACCGCCTCCCGGAATGAAAGCGGGCCAGTGTGAGGGCCCGGCGGCGGACCTGCTGTGGCGGGGCTGAGCGTGGAAGTGCCCGCCGGCAGTGTCCGGTTGGAGGAGGGTCCGGGAGATTGGGGGAGGGTTGTCTGTAGAGAAGTGCCCGATTGAGGCCCGGGTACATGGGGGTTGACCGTGGAGGTGGGCATTGCGGATGTCCCCAGAGAGGGCTCGGCTGTAGTCGGTTTTGCCGTAGGAACGCCCGTCAGAGGTGTACTTGTCGGTGGAGGATCGGTAGGATGAGACACGGACACCGTATTTGGGGCCAAGTCCGTCAATCCATCATCACGAACGTAGTGAGGGAGTTTGTTGTTTGCACCTGCCTATCGAAGATTGTTATTTGTGCCGCTGCCGGAGCCGGAGCTTGGCAGTTGGTCAGCGCCTGCCGGTGGACTCTCGGTTGCAGCTGGAATAGTAGAGAGGGAGTTTGTTGTTTGCGGTCCCGTGAGGTTAGGATAATTTTTGTTCTGTAGAATATTTTGGGTGCTGGGCTGAGAGGAAAGCTTGGGCTGGCTGGGTTGCTCCACTGGATTGGCAGGCCCGTAAAGGGGTAGGCCCAGAGCTGGGGAGTAGGAGATTATGGGCTGCAGATTGAAATTGGGTTGAGGAGATGTACCTGGGTTAAGGGAGTTATTAGTGAAATTGTGATCTGTACTGGGCCCGTATTTGTTGTGGCCCAGAAAGAGGGATTGGCCCAAAACTTGATCTTGTGACTGCACAAGCCCTACCTGATCATGAGGGCCGTTTGGATGTTGAGGAGTCAACAGAGCAATCTTGGCGGCGGTGGGTGACGACTTCGGCGAGGAAGTTTCCGGTGATGGAAGAACCGACTTTAAGGAGCACGACAGACCATTGCTCCCAATTTTATCACTACTGTTTACCATTATCGGCCCAAGAGGAGGCTCCGTCTGCCTGTTGCTGTTGGAACAGTGTATCTGTTCGGGGTTGTTTCCGATTTTTCCATTCACTTGCTTTTGCGTGTGTACAGTTGGAATTATCTCAACTGTTTCAGTGATTTCTCCATCCTCTAAATTTTTTACTGCTTCATTTTCGGCTTTTGACTTTTTGAGATTATCGATGAAGGCTGAGAGAGAACCTCTGATTTCCGGTTGTGCCAAAAATGTTTCCAGCTCCGGCGCTTGGAAGGGGATCTGGACTTGTGAGATGACCGAATTCGATATTTGTGGATCCAAGAAAATCTGTGGAATCGTATCTATCAAAGCTAGCGATTGCGAAAGGGGGGGCGGATCCATGATATGACTGATAGAAGGAAGAATCCGGCGGCCAGTAGGGCCGCCGGTGGCGGCGACGGGAAGCGAAGACTATGTGGAGGTGGTGGTGGTGGTGGTGGCGGCGGAAGGGAGGTGGTGGCGGAAGATGAAAAGTGAAAATCCTAGAGAGAGAAAAGTAGAGAGAAGTGAGAGCATTTTTTATATGAAGGTGTTGGTGCTAGGTTAGTTGTCTGTTGGTGCTAGGTTAGTTGTCTGTTGGTGCTAGGTTAGTTTTCTGTTGCTGCTAGGTTAATTATCTTATGTTGCTAGGATAGTTATATGTAGCTGCTTAGATAGTTATATTTTTCCTCCATTCTTTCTTATAATAATTGTTCACTGTTTTTAATTTTATGTATAAGCAGGGTTATAAATCCAAACTGGTTAGCAAGGTTATGTGCTTGGCTTCCGATGTGGTTGATGTAATAACCTTGCTTGAAGATGCACCCGCTGAAGTGTCAGAAGATATAATTTTAAGAATATTCAAGAAGCAACTGAAAATCTGATCACTTTCAGTCCCAATATACCGCAATCTTCTCAGAGGAATGATTCCTTTAGTGAAGAAGCAGATGCTTTCTGGAA